AAAAGGGCGGCATCTGCAGGGCACAGAGAGTGACATTCACCTGCCCCGCCACCCAGAGGGTTCTGTGGGCCATTTTACTTCCTTCACAGGCCTTCAGATAATGCGAATGAAGCCAAACGGTAACAAATGCCGTTGGGAAGAAAAGCTACTGGGGTGCTTGAGAGCCCGCTGTCTTCCAGAGGGCCTGCTCTCTCCTCTGTTCCTTTCTCTCTCCCTCTTTTTTTTTAGTTTTGTTTTTCCTATTTGGAGAAATAGTAGTGTGTTCATTGTAGGAAATGAGGAAAACACAGAAAAGTGCAAAGAAAAAAGTTAAATCATCTGTAGTCCTACCAAAGATAGCCTTTGATATTTTGGTTCATGTGTATATATATTTAATTTACAAACTTGGACTTCCGTTTCTATAGTTTTTTACCTTTAAAGTTTATATTCAGAGACTTTGCTTATTCTAAAATTCATTTTATCTAACCCTCATTATTAAACATTGAAGTTTCCATTTTTGTACTATTAATAATGCAGGATTGACTTTCTTGTGTAAATTTGTGGCCTGATCTCTGATTATTTTTTCAGAATTCTGTTTGATTTTAATGCTGAGATGAGCTATTAAATCAAGGAAGCCCAACATAATGCCATTTTTGTTTTCACAAAACTAACGAACCTATTTTCTTGGAAGTTTTTCCCACAAATTATTGAAAGGGCTGACTATGGGACTATAAGGCCAAATCAAACCTTGCTCTGCTGCCAGAGAGCAACCTGTGAGCAGAAGAGCAGAGAACAGCTTGTCCCAAAATGGGCTGATATTTGCACTGGAGTGGTTGAAACTGACAGAAAAGCCAAACTATCAGTAGCTTAGCAAACACATGCTGTTCCTCTCTTTCTCCTGTACATGTAGGCAGTCCAGAGCTAGTGTCACCAGACGCTGGCTCCTATCTTCCTGCTCTACCAGCCTCAGTTTGAACACAGGGCTTCCCACCTCGCAGGCTGGGTGGCTGTCCCAGCTCCACCCATCACATCCTCAGCCACTCGGCTGGAAGGAGGGAAAGGGAGAAGCACCCAACTCCCTTCAAAAGGACACAGCCCATTTCCACTCCCCAGAACTTTGTCAAATGGCCACAGCCAAAAATACTGGGAAAGGTCATTTTACTGCCCACATGCCTGGTGAAAAATGCAGGGTCCTGTTATAGAATCCGGAAAGAATGGACATTGAGGCACAATGAGCTGCCTGCCAAAAAATGTCAGTCTCTGCTATAAAAAATGGGCAGATGGGAATTTTTTTGTAAGTGAGAAATTATTTTCTACTGAAAATGGCCTGAGGAGGCTTCATGAAAGGTGCATTTGGGTTGGACCTTGAACATTTAAAGTAGTCCAGAGAACTTTGGAGCTAGTGCTACTCAAGGCATGGGCCTCTAACAGCAGCTGGGAGCTGGCCAGGAAGGCCGAATCCCAGGCTCCTTCCCAATCCTGCGCAATCAAGATCGAGGGGCAGGCGTGGGAACCTGGTCTTAGCAGGCTCCCAGGTGATTCTTAGGCATCCTTAGGTTTAAGAAGCACTGTTGTAAGCAGGGCAGCACATCCCAGACTTTTATTAGTGTGCCAAAGTGGGCTTACCCACTGGTCAGCAGCGAAATGAGACCAAGGGGGAAGATGTGTTACGTTTCTCATAGGGGTAAAATTGAGTCCTTGTCCTTTATTTGGAAAGTATCCTTAGAGCTTTGTCTTAGCGACAGTGTTTTTTTCTTTTAAAATGATGGTGACCACCAGACCATAGGAGTTGAGGTCTTTTTAAGTGTCCTTTCTTACAAAAGGAAACATTGGCAACCTGATGTCAGTCCCCAGATGTGTTTTTGAAATTTTACTGAACCATGGAACCCAAAAGTCCAGGACTGCTGACCATGGGACAGAAATGCAAGCCTTCTGGGTGTTTGGAGAATGGCCATAGCTCTGTTTCACTGAAGCTGCAAGTCATGGGCAGAGTGCTTGGGTGCCCAGGAGCAGAGGCGTGGTGAGTATAGGGAGGGTGTCAGACAGGGACTGCTCAGTGACGCTGAACCATGGAGGCCGTGACTGGGCCTGAGCTCTGAAAAGAGGGCTCTGGCAGGACCAGCAGGGTTGGAGGTGGAGGGGGAACTTCTGAGCAGAAAGGGTTTTAGCTCCAGGAGGCCCCCTGCTGTGGGTGGTGGCTTAGGCAGCTTGCCATAAGCATTTACAACCAAGTAATACCAGATAATGGCCAAATTTGTTCCCACTCATAACCACAGCCATCTGCCTGTCTAAACACAATGCTTTAAAAAATGACTCAGGTGCTAACTGCTCAAAAGTCTCTCCAGTGAGAGGGATACACATACCTACACTGTGGCAGCCCCCACTTAAACCATGGCCACAGACAGTAGCCACCCACCTCTCCCCTCTCCCCTTTTATAAACCACAGGCATACCTCATTTTATTGTTTCACAGATAGTTTTTCACAAATTGAACATTTGTGGCAACCCGTGTCAAGTCTGTCAGCATCGTTTTTTCCAACAGCATTGTTCACTTACTGTCTGTGTCACGTTTTGGTAATTTGCACAATTATTTCAAACATTTTATCACTACTGTAATTGTTATGGTGATCTGTGATCAGTGACTACAACTTGCTGAAAGCTCAGGTAATGGTTAGCATTTTTTAGCAATGAAATATGTTTTAATTAAGGCATGTACGTTGTATTTTTAGACAACGCACACTATACAGTATAGTGTAAACACTTACATACACTGGGAAACAATTCATTTGACTGGCTTTACTGCTATAATCACTTTATTGTGGTGGTCTGGAACCAAATCCCCAGTATCTCCAAGGTGTGTATCCATGCTTTAGGAGGTTGGGATAGTCAACTCCCTAGGCTTTGCAACTGAAATTTAAATGCACATTGGCCCTAATTTGGGGAAGTGTTTCATGCTATATCTTGGTTTTCTCCATACTGATTTTCCGTATCAGTTGTGAGTTTAATTGGGCTGTAATATGATAGCAACTTCCGGCAAACCCTGTTTTTCTTCCTTGGGATCTGAAGTCGGGTGACATTTCTGGGCTCATAGAGGTCCTGTACATGTGAGGGCTTTTTTGCTAGTAATTTAGGCCCTTCATTTTCTTTGAACTTAGAAGGTTTGAGCTATTGCTATACACACTAGCCCAGAGGTCTAATTTGCTATTGGTGTTGATGCCAAGACCATGGTTTCACCTCTACAGGAGGGCAAAGGCTGTATGATCCTCATTTGAGAATGCACATGCTGCAGCAACTTTGTTCAACTTGCAGGAGGGATGAAATGTACTTGATCCTCCACTGCTCCCCTCCTCCAGCCCCATGCAGTGTCCCTGGAATGCCAGAGCCCGTTTGGGTTCAGCTGTGCGGCAGCTGGAAGCAAGCCAAGACAGCTGACTCTAAGATACGCTGGCCTCCCACAGACATTCAGCCTCGTTACGCAAGTGCTGCCAAGGTAAACATCATCCCCAGTCTCGTGGCGCTTACAGTCTAGTTCAGGGTACATGGAAGTAAACAGGTAATCACAGCTCAGAGGTGTAAATGTCTTAGAGGAAGTGCAGGCTTGATGTGAACACCGTGACCCACTTACAGGCCTGAACCCAGTCAAGCCTGTAGTAACAGGACATACTGGTTGACTGTGTCTTACCCGCTGTGTCATCCTTTTCTGAATGACCTTGGGCAACCTGTGTCTAGTCAGGTCATCTGCTAACAATTCTTTTACTGCTTTGGCTCACCTCGCCTTTAAAGGGAGCTTAAAGCTGGCCAAGGCAGAACTGTTGCAATAAAGCCTGAGGTTTGCACGAACTGATGAATGATGTGTTACTCATCTGGGGTTGAGAGAACTTGCTTCCCACCTCCGAGTGGAGGCTGCAAAATGTCAGTCAGAAAACATCCCTGCCATGTCACCAGTAGTTTATACCAGTTTAATCCCCCTTCCTTGGCATGTGAAACTTCGCGTGTAAAGCAATTAGCATTTAATATTTGCTAATTAGCATGCTTAATGTGATTCAGAGATGTTCCTTGACATTTTCATAAAAACAGAGAGCACATTCCCGCCCACCCTTCAAGAGGCAAAGACCAGTTTGTCAAAAAAGAAAAAAAACCGTGCCAGTCGTTTTGGTGCTGAATTGCATGTGTTGGCCTCTTCCGCGATACTGCTGGTAAATTCAGAAGCTCCTCTAGAAAAGAACTTTTTAGTCAGCAGCCATAAGCTCATGGATCTAAGGGAAAATGGTTAAATCCAGCTAAAGTCTCGGGGCTGTGATGGTCCTTTTCAAGTAAATAAAAACCGCCTGCGCCCCCGACAAACCACATACACTGTTCAAGTCCTACAAGGAGCCAAATTACGACACGCGTCGAGAAAGACATCCCACTCTATAGATGTAGCGCAACAACGTAACTCTCCGCAGACAGGTAGCCACTCGCTCCCATTTCGCCAGCTCCAGGGCTCAAGCCGGAGGTCCGCACGTCCAGCGTCCGCAACTCCGCCCGAGCCGAAGATGTCTGCTCGTTTCCCCTCCCGAGTCAGACACCGCTCGCTCCCTCTCTGCGGCCCTTGTGGCCCCTCGCGCCCCGAGGAGGGGGTCAGGGCTCCGGGGGTCGCACCGCCCGGTCCCCTCCCGCCGGCCCGGTCCGTTCGGAGCCGGAACCCGCCCCCCAGCTCCGTCAGGCCGCCCGGCTTCGGCCCCACGTGGCCCCTCCGAGCGGGCCGGACTACCCTGCTGCCACCAATTGACGGACCGACGCGGCCACTGGGCGCTGCGCTGAGCGCCTGCGGCCAACCAGCGCGCTTAGAGCGCTGGTGGGGGCAGGGCCGCCGCGTGGCCGCTAGCCCGCGCCCGCGCCGCCATTGGCGAGTTTGGGACCGCCCCTGCCTACCGGCCCCGCCCCTCCAGCAAAGTTAGGTTGCGGCGCGGGCGGCGGGCGGAGCTGGTCCCGTTGTGCTGCGGCTCCGCGCGGCCTGCAGTCCGGGCCCGCGCCCCGCGCCGCCCGCCCGCCCGCCCGCCATGGAGCCCTGCCCCGACGGCCCCGCCGCCTCCAGCCCAGCTGCCATTCGTGAGGGCTGGTTCCGGGAGACGTGCAGCCTGTGGCCCGGCCAGGCCCTGTCGCTGCAGGTGGAGCAGCTGCTACACCATCAGCGCTCGCAGTACCAGGATATCCTTGTCTTCCGCAGGTACCACCGCCCGCCCCGCCCTGCGCCCTGGCGCCCCTGCGCCCGCTCAACCCAGACCGCCAGCTGCCCACCCGCGCGAACCAGCCGAGACGCCTCCTGCCCTGACCTCGGCCCGAACTACCCCTCTTCTGCCAGACCCCTGTCTTGAGCGCTTTACCTCCGGATGCCCCTCGGCCGCCTCTGCCCCCGCCCCTCCTCCTGCAAAACTGTCAGAAGTTCCTGTGAACTAGGCCCATCTCCTCTCTGAGCTCCCTCCCGACCCTGCATCCCGTGTCCCGGGCTAGGGGCCGGCGTTTGGAGCAGTCCTCGTCGGTGGGAGGGAGCCAGAGTGTGCGCCGACCCGACGCGCGGAACTCCACGTGTCAGTCCCCGACACGTCAGAGCCAGACCCCATTCCAACCCTAGCCGCCCCCCAGGGGCCCTCCTGCAGATCCTTGCCACGTGTCATCCCCAGTGCTCAACCCCTGGGACCCCTTGTCGGGTCGGGGGAGATTCGTCTCACCCAGGGACAGTTGGACCACATTGCCCGCCTCTCCAGGGGACCCAGGTACCTGACTGTCACTCCTGCCCCACAGTAAGAGCTACGGCAACGTGCTGGTGTTGGACGGCGTCATCCAGTGCACAGAGAGAGACGAGTTTTCCTACCAGGAGATGATAGCCAACCTGCCCCTCTGCAGCCACCGCAATCCCCGCAAGGTACCAGCCTCCAAGAACAGCCCTGAGACACCCCACACCCCCCGCCATAGGAAACCCACCACTCAGTGTCCTCCGAGCAGTGCTGGAGGTCCTGGATGTGCCCTGTGCCCAGCCCAGGTGCTTCCTAAACAGCTGTCAGAGAAAGTGCCAGCAAGGACAAGGGGAGTTCGTGCTGACACAGCCCTGAGAAGCAAACAGTTCTGGCTGACGCCTGAAGCTCAAGAAGGAGCAGCCCTGGGAGGAGTTTCCAGAAAAAGGGAACACACACCTGGCAGCAGGTTCCATAGGCAGGAAGGGATTTCTGAGAGTAGCAAATGAAGTAAGGGGGTCTGTGGGTCAGAGGAACTGAGATTCATACCCTGTACCATATGGTTCTAGCTTGTTCTAGCTGGTTTGGTGTGAGTGCCTCTGCCCGGTGAGGGTCCAGGCCACCGAGTTCTGCTGGAGCCTGTTCGGTAGGGCTGACGCTCCGGCTCCAGCCCACTCCTGACCGCCCCTCCCCTCGCAGGTGCTGATCATCGGCGGCGGGGATGGGGGTGTCCTGCGGGAGGTGGTGAAGCATCCCTCCGTGGAATCGGTGGTCCAGTGTGAGATCGATGAGGTGAGCGCACAGAGCGGAGCTGTGGTCTGGGTTCAAGTCTGCTTCTGCCCTAAATCAGCTGCATGCCCTTGAGCAAGTCCCTTACCATTTCTAGGCCTGTTTCTTCGTCTCAAAAACATGTTGAGGAGGATTCCGTAGGAAAACTGGATAGTGAGGGCCTGGCACATCATAATCGTAGGTGAGCCATGATGCTGGTTCATAGACTGAGCTGGTTTTTAATTCAGGGCCCAGGGCATGCCAACTGCTAGGGTATCTACCCTTCACACTCAGCATGTTTTTAATGAACCTCTATGTGGCTGCCCTTGGTCTAGGTGCTGGGGTCCAATAGTGAACAGATAGGCCCAGTCCTTGCCCCATTTGGAGCTGGTGTTCTAGTTAGAAGGAAACATCAAGACTGATCTGATAAAGGCAGGACAGCGGCAGGGGGCTGGAAGGAAAGGCAGGAGGGGAGGCTGGTCAAGGCAGGCCTCGAGGTGGGTGTGAGCTGGGCCTGAAGGAGAAGCAGCTGGCCACATGGAGACAGAGAAAGGCTCTCCTGGTGAGGCTAGAATCAAGACCCTCTGAAATACCAGCAGAGCTACTGGAGGCAGGGGGCAGCTTGGTTTCGGGGGAGGGAACTGGGAGGTGGAGGTGTGGGCTGAGCAGCGGGCAGGAGCCAGCCCACTGAACTGAGGGGGTGGTACCAGAGTGCTCCCCATCTTACAGATGTGAAAACCGGGGTTCCACAAAGTGAATGGCTCGCCCAAAATGCCCAGGCTTTGGGAGGGGCTGCCAGGCATCCCACTCACTCCATCCGACTCCAGGGCTCCCAGTCCCTGTGGCCCAGCCTGGTCCCTCTGCTCCCCAGGATGTCATTCGGGTCTCCAAGAAGTTCCTGCCGGGCATGGCCATTGGCTACTCCAGCTCAAAGCTGACGCTACATGTGGGTGACGGTTTTGAGTTCATGAAACAGAACCAGGATGCCTTCGATGTTATTATCACTGACTCCTCAGACCCCATGGGTAAGCAGGGGCTGGCCCTGGGCCATCTGTGCCCCTGGCCTGATTTGAAGAATGGGAGGGGATGGCCTGATTTGCAGAGGATGGGAGGTCCCCAGAACTAGAGCTGAACTTTTCCCTTCTCTGTTGTCACTCAAACATGACCCCGTAGAGTAGGGAGACCAGGCTACTACCCAAAGTTGGGGACCTAGAGGAGAGTGGGGCACTAGCCTTGGCCCACTGAGGCCCTAGTTTCCCCTTCAGCCTCCTCTCTGCTCTTGGCAAACAAAATGTAGGGGCGGGGGTCTAGTCTCAACCCAAGGCCCGGGGGGTGAGTCCCCTGACACAGAGCCGATGAGAATCCCGCAGGAATGGGATGAAAATGTGGAGCCCTCTCAGGCACTTGGCATGGACCCCTGCCCCACCTCAAAAACAGCCTCTTTGTTATTGCTTGCTGAATGTCGCAGACTGGGTTCCAATCCGCTCCGCCCGTGGGCAGCTGCACCGGTCTTGGTGTGGGGTGACAGTGGTCTTGCCTCCCTCAGAGCCAGGCTCAGAAGGTCTTAGCCAGAGTGTGTGCGCTGCCCCTCTTCCCTTTCCCTGCCCCGCAGGTCCTGCTGAGAGTCTCTTCAAGGAGTCCTATTACCAGCTCATGAAGACGGCCCTCAAGGGGGATGGCATCCTCTGCTGCCAAGGTGAGTGGCCTTGGCAGGGCAGTCGGGAGGGGCCGGGCCAGGGGGCCGCCTGCCTGCCGGATGCTGACCCTGCCCACTGCCCGCAGGGGAGTGCCAGTGGCTGCACCTGGACCTCATTAAGGAGATGCGGCAGTTCTGCAAGTCGCTCTTCCCCGTAGTGGACTACGCGTACTGCACCATCCCCACCTATCCCAGCGGGCAGATTGGCTTCATGCTGTGCAGCAAAGACCCAGTGAGCTGGGGCTGTCCTGAGATGGGAGGGGGCAGGTGGGCCCGAGAGAACTCCCCTGATGCCCCCCCACACCCCTGTCCCCAGAGCACCAACTTCCGGGAGCCTGTGCGGCAGCTGATGCAGAAGCAGGTGGAACAGATGCAGCTGAAATACTACAACTCCGATGTACATCGCGCAGCCTTCATTCTGCCCGAGTTTGCCCGCAAGGTGAGCTGCCTGCGGGATGGGGGAGGGGACCCAGGGCTCCCCGAGGGGCTGCCTCCACCCCCACATGGCCCAGCATCCTCCTGACGAGCCCCCGTGTCCCACTAGGCCCTGAATGATGTGAGCTGAGCCCTGCTGCCACTGCAGACACCGCCCAGGATCTGGAGCAAGGAAGCCTCCAGGGCGCCTGGGCCCTGACAGCCCTGGACAAGACCCCTGCCAGTGTGCCCGCCAACCAAGTGTTACAGGCCCCAGAATGCTGCCCGGCCTGCCCTGCTGGGCAGACTGTCTGTCTCTCTCTGTGGGGGTCAGCCTCCACGCCTATACCAGCTGTGTATAGCACTGTCTCCACCTTCTGTCACCCCTTACTCACCAAACACGTGTATTTATAACAAAGTTCTGAATCGTGTGTCCCCAGACCTTGCAGGGGCTGTAGCAGCCACTACTGGGCACTTCTGGGTGCCAGGCTCTGAGCTGGCCTGGCGTCTGGCCTCCAGTGCCTGCTGAGTGTCTGAGTAGGCAGGCCATGCTCTCCCTGTGTAACCTTGAAGCAGCCCCAAGACCTCAGTGGCACCAAGAGACACCGCTGTCATCTGCCCAGATACAGCAGTCAAGTCAGCCCTGGTAAGCTGCGTTAGTTACTCCCTCAAGCCCCAGAGGCCAGACATGACAGGCCCCTAGGGCCGGGGCTGTGGAGTTGACATGACCTTGGTGGGGCTGCTCAGGGCCTTTGCCTTCTTCTGGGGCAGCGTTGAGTGTTCTCAGAAGGATTTGGGCCATTCACAAGATTGCCAGGGCCCATCCTGGGGTAGATGCTGGCAGTGACCCTGCAGGTGGCTGGCTGGCGTGTTAAGCACATCAGGGCCCTGACATGGCTCCCAGTTCAGACCTGGGTTCAAATTTTGCCTCCTCCTTAGTGCCCTCTGTTAAATTCCCAGAATTTACCCCACAGGTTGAGAGGTTGAGAAAGCAGGTGTGGGAGCCTTCCAGGACTCCCAGGGCACAGGCCTATCCCCTCTCCAAGGTGCTGAACCATCGAGTGTGTCCTGGTGCCTCCCCTCCCCTGGCCTCCAGGACAGGCTCTGCTGCTGGGAGAGGGGCCACTGCAACAGGGTGCAGCCGAGGGAGGGCCTCTAGCCCACCCTGTGTCTGGATCTCAGGAAAGGCCCCTGGTCCTTGAAAAAGCTGGTGTCACCAACATTTTCCCCACCGTAAGGCCAGGACACGCCAGAGAATGAGTTAGTCTGGGAGAGACTTGGGGTCAGGTGGGAGGGAGGAAAGAGAGTGGCCCCAGTCTGGAGGTGATGCTGGAACATCCCCGACCCTGCCTCTGCCTTGGGTCTGATTCCACGGGGGCTGGCACTGCCATTGTGGGGTTGGGGAGCAAGCTCCCGGCTGTGCAGACGGCTCCTTGAGGGGCTGCAAGCCAGTCACTTGCCCTCAAGGCTCCATGCACCCCAACCTCACCCCCTCCCATAAATTCACTGGGCTGAGCACCTGGTGTTTGACCCCAATCAGGAGGACTGACCCCAGGATAACTTCTCCATTCCACCCAACCCCAGGAAAGTATTCTTTTTTTAACATTTTTTTATTATTATCAAGGTATCATTGATAAACACTCATATGAAGGTTTCACATGAAAAACATTGTGGTCACTACTTTCACCCATATTATCGAGTCCCCCCCATGCCCCACTGAAGTCACTGTCCATCAGTGTAGTAAAATGCCACAGAGTCACTACTTGCCTTCTCTGTGTTACACCCCAGGAAAATCTGAACCCAGGCTTGGGTGTGGACAACCCTGGGAAGCCAGGTGAGTCAGGACTTGTCTGGCTGCACAACAATGTCAGTGGAAGTTGTTTAGCGCTGACCTGCCACAGGTCTTCCTCCTCTAACTTTCACAGCCACCTATGCGAAAGGCACTATTAACTCTGCACAGGGAGGTTAGGTGACTCGCCCAAGGGCACACAGCTAGCAAGCAGGAAGTGGAGGACACCAGGCAGCTGGCCTTGTGAGAGCTGCTCCGTGCTACTCACCCAGCCTCTGCAGCTCAGCACAAGCACCCTGGGGTTCCACTCGGCCCGCCCTCCTCCCCACAGCCTGTCTTAATGACCAAGCTCCATCCTGAGGGTGAGCCCCAGGGCATGCTGCTGGCAGGGAAGGTGGGCACGGGCAGAGGCAGGGGCGCCAGTTCTGAGGGCTCTGCCCCTGGTCTGAATGTCAAGTCTGCCATTAGCTCTGACATAGGCTGTTTCTGGCTAGGTTACCCATCTGAATGGGAGCGATGGTCCTTGGCCTGTTAACAGGCTTCACTGAGAAGTACATGCAGTGCTGACTGAACTGGTGACGATCAGGATTGCCTCTCAGGACAGAGGAAGGGAAGAGAAGGGCCCAGGGGGCAGATCTGGGGCCCTTTGAGAACCAATGCCTACACCGGAAGTTGTTAGCTGCGGTGTACACCCCCCACTTCGCGACTTTCATTGATCTCCTGTTCATACCTTGAAAGGGTGAATGTTAAGGACTAGCCCTGAACCCCAAGTATGGGTGGTCGTGATGGAGACTTGGACTGATGGGCTGAGGTAGAAGCAGGGTGTTCTTTGAGGACATGACCTCAGTCCCCCGGAGTCCCAGAAATCATGGACAGGGACGTGAACAAGCCCAGTTTGTGGGATGAAGAATAAAATCCATCCTAACTAGGATTTTGAAGTTCAGTTATTTATCAAAATTAGCCCTGCCCCCAGTGTAAGGATTCAGATGGTTCTGTGTGGATCGTTAGAAAACTGGGAGTCCTCTGGCACCTGCTTGTCTTGTCCCCAGAGGCAGCCACACGGACCTCTACCAGCTGCTCATTTTCGTATTCACCTTCAGGCCTCTAAGTGGCATGTTGTAGTACTACTGCTCAACCTGTCCATTTTGTTCATAGTCTTGATTTTCCGCTAGGGTAGATGGGGATCTAGCCCATCCCTGCTGCAGCCACACCCTCAACAATTAAATGATCATCTTGGCTAGCTCAGTATTCAATGTTGGCACCGTTACAACTCTAAATGCCATTCACAGCTGAGACAAGGAGAAACTGTAATTTCTTTTCTCCTGCACGGCTTCTTACTTCCCTGGAGGTTTTTTTCATTTGCTTAATTTTCAATAAATATATCACTAATTTAGCCCAAAACTGTTTACCTAGTGTCTAAAGTTCTTAAGATTTTCAGACAAAACGCTAATCAATTTTTGGTTAAGAGATCCTAATATTTTATTTAGCCCCATTATAATTTATAATTAACCCATGACTGTTTAATGGAATAATCAATAACAGGAAATAGTAATGTACATAATATCCATTGCTTTACTGTGATTTGTACCATAATGCTATAACACTTTCATTTAGGAAAGAAAGACTACAGAAATTTTTTTTTAAAAAAAGATCTTGGACGCTATGGGTTTCTATCATTTTTATTTTCCTAAAAAATCTGTCCAGAGCCTTTTGTCTACCCTGAATGTAACTCCCTATCAGAACTGTTGTCCCTTGGACCCCATATCTTCCTGTTTTTTGGTTTACTCCCTTTGTTTGGTGAGATATACCCTATACAGCTTTCTGAGAAAGGGGACAAAGAATGCAAAATTTAAAAAATCTGATGTGCATGAAAATGTCTTTGCTCCACCTTCATGCTTGATTGATGGGTATAGAATTTGGATGGCAGAACATTCTGTTGGAAATAATCTTCCTTCAGCATTGTGACAATTTGCTCTTTTCCATTTTTATTACCTATTGCTGTGTTTAAAATTAACAGCAAGTGTAGCAGATTGAGACAACCATAGCATTTTTTAATGTGGGTCAGGAATATGGGGGTGCCTGAGCTGGTTGGTTCAGCTTGGAGTCCTTCATGAGGTTGCAGGAGAGCTCTCTGCCAGGGCTGCAGGTACTTGAAGCCTTAACTGGAGCTGGGCCATCAGCTTCCAAAATGCTCACTCATGCAACTAGGAAGTGACGCTGCTAGCTGTTGGGGGCCTCCCGTTCCTCCCCTGGGGAGCTCTCCAAAGGAACTCTGAGGGTCCTCACCACAGGACAGCTGACCTCCCCCAGAGCAATGGATCCAAGAGAGAGGCAGACAGAAGCTGCAGTGTCTTGTATGGTCCAGCGACAGAGACCCGCACGATCATTTCAGCGTGTCCTATCCGCAGGCCTTACCCCGGGTGGAAGAGAACGCGCAAAGTGCGCACGCCCTGCGGCGGGAGTCACCAGAGGCTGTCTGGAGGCTGGTCTTAAGTTTCCAGGGTTATTCTGAGAGCTCCAAAATAATCATTTTTCTGATCCTTTGTATGTGATTTGTTCTATGTTCTCTCTGCTTTCTTTCAATCTCTCTCAGTCTCTAGGTTCGAAGAAAGTAATTTTTCTCTCCAGTCTTTTGAAATATCATGTAAATTCCATTTTCATCTATTATTCTGGGCACCCAGAGCACACTTGCCATCAGTAAACTCATGTTCTTCAGTTTGAGGAAATTTCCTTGCATTATTTTATTATTTCCCCCCCTCCATTTCTTTTTTATCTTTTCCTGGCATTCCTGTCAATCTTGGACATACTGTATACAGGTCTTTTCGTTTTTTAATCTTTAACAGGTTTTTTTTTTTTTTTGCCTGTATTCTGGAAGATTTCTTCAATCATATCTTCCAGATATTTTATTGGGCTTTTCATTTCTTTCAGACTTTTTATTGCCCCAAACGTCTTGTTTCCTGAAGGTTCTTTTTGAATGGCATCCTGTTCTTGCTTCTCATTCTTGCCTGTCTTTCCTCTGAACTTACTCATGATTGTTTCATTTTAATTTGGGGCATTTTCTTCTCCCTAATTTGTATCTGTAGCCTTTGGTTGGTTGGCTTATTTTTTTGGTCTTTCTCCATCATGTTTGAGGTTCTCCTCAGTAGTTCTTGAATCTTCTGCTCATATATGAGTGGGGACGGCAATGCTGACCGTAAGCTCTGAGCACAGGACCGGGGCTTGTCCACGTGGGCGGTGTGGCCGAGCCTTTTGCGTGGATCCTTTGAAGTCAGTATCTTCAGGCATCTCCTCCTGGGCGGCCACACCTCCCAGAAAGGAGGGAGATGCCTGCTTGATTCCCTTGTTTTCTCCCTGGCCCTCTCATACCCAGCTGGGCCTGGGACCCTTAATTTACTCCCTACAAAACTAAGTTTACAAGTCCTGTGGGGGTTGGGGGATGGAAAAGGGATTGGCTGACTCCTTACCACTTCCAGAGGGACTTGGTGCTGCCAGTCCCCCAGGCAGTTCCGGATTCCACTGCTAACTTAGAATTGCTTTCTAGAGTTATTTCTACCTGTCCACCTGTCTTTCCAGCTTCCAAGATGTGGGTGCTGCCTCCTTTCCCATATCCCCATCCTCGTGGACTCAGGTGTTTCTAAAAACTTCCCTTTTCTGTCTTAAAGCAGGGTTTCAGGAGGGAGCGAAAGTAGACGCATGTGTTGCTCCTCACCTCTGCCTGGAAGTGGCGGTCACGGTCACGGTCACAGGCATTTTCATGGGGGCCCTGGCTGAGCTCAGAAGTCACACACACAGGTTAAGTGTGAGGACAGAGGCAGGGTATGTTCCCAGGGCGGCCTGTCGTCAGGTCCGGCTCCTGGCTCCTGGCGTGCCCTGTCCTCCCTGCCTGGAACTCCGGGCAGCAGGAGTCATGGGGTCGATTCCCAGAATCCCAGGGCCGGGGAGGCTGGGGCAGGGCCATGCGGTGGACAAACAGATCAAAGGTGAGACAAGACACCGTGGGACTCCAGACCGAGCCTGGCCAGCTGGACGGGTGCACCATGAGGTGGGTGGAAGCCCCCCACAGGCTCCCCAGCAAGGGTGAGGGGTGAGAACAGGCCTTGGGCCGGCCCTCACCTGCCCCCCGCCCTGCCCTCAGGCTGCTGATCTTCCTGGGCCTGCTGTGGAGCTCAGCAGCCCCACCCTCAGGCCCTCAGTGGCCTGAGCCGGTGTTCGGGCGCCTGGCCTCTCCCGGCTTCCCCGGGGTGTATGCCAACAACCAGCAGCAGCGCTGGGCCCTGACTGCTCCCCCCGGCTACCGCCTGCGCCTCTACTTCACCCACTTCCACTTGGAGCTCTCCTACCTCTGCGAGTACGACTTTGTCAAGGTGCCGGCAGGGCAGGTGGCCTGGACCGTCTTGAAGGCTGGGGTGACGGACACCTGGGAGCAGGGTCTGGTCTCGGAGGGAGAAAAAGAGGGAGGGCAGGCCTTGCGTCTTGGCTTCCCTCTCCATGACCCCTCTGCCCCACAGCTGAGTTCAGGACCCAAGGTGTTGGCCACGCTGTGCGGGCTCGAGAGCACAGACACGGAGCGGGCGCCCGGCAACGACACCTTCCACTCGCTGGGCTCCAACCTGGAAGTCACCTTCCGCTCTGACTACTCCAATGAGCAGCCATTCACGGGCTTTGAGGCCTTCTACGCAGCAGAGGGTGAGCTGAGAGGAGGCCCAGGGGGCCCGGGATGACCCACGTGCAGCTGGGATAGCTCCCTCCTGCCCAGGCCAGGCCCGCTCTGCCCCCACTCCCTGAGGCTGGGTTCCTGCCAAGTCAGCAGGAGAGAAGGCCACACCTTGCTCCAACATCATCCACAAAGCAAATACATGTGAGAGCTAGGACCTCCCCTCTCAGAATGAGCCCCCACCTGGATTCTGTGCCAGCTGCTAAGCCTGGGACAGCCGCACAGACCCTCGTGGTACAAGGGCAGACGAGCCCATTTACAGATGGGAAAGTGAAGCTCTGCCAGCCTAAGCATTGCTCAGAACACAGAGCTAGGCCCTTTGTACCTCTTGGGGGCTTTGAGTCACATACTGGTCCTGCAGAGATCAGCTGTGTGACCTTGGGCAAGTGGCTCGACTGCACTGTGCTCCTCAGGAAGCTGTGACAGAGGAGCCTGTGTAGTAGCCCCACCCACTGAATTCAACTGCTGGCTGCTGCCTTCACTAGCTGGGTGACCTGGAGCAGGACACTTAGCTTGTCATTAGTTCTGGGAAGGTTGCAGTGACCCCAGGCCTGTGAAGGACATAAGGAGGCTCCGCTCAGGTCAGCCGTGAGCCAGGAGGTCTCCTGAGTCCCGGCCGGCGCTGCTGCCCCATCTGTCTCCCTGCTGACCACCTGCCGGGCACACCCCTCCCCTAGACATCGATGAGTGCCAGGTGCCCCCGGGAGAGGCACCGCCCTGTGACCACCACTGCCACAACCACCTGGGCGGTTTCTACTGCTCCTGCCGCGTGGGCTACGTTCTCCACCGGAATAAGCGCACCTGCTCAGGTGAGCCCCCTGCGGGCTGAGTGGGTGGGGCGGAGGACCCTGTGCCCTGCCCAGCGCCCACCTGGCCCCAGAAACAGCCGGCTCCTCAAGGCCACGGCTGCTGTGCTCAGGGATCCAGAAGGGACCACAGAGCCCTGTCCCACTGGGCACTTCCGGGGGCGCTGGCCCATCTTTGACCTTCCACCCTGTCCTGGCCACCCATCCATGCATTCGCATTCCTGAATTCTTCCCCCTCTCTGGTCCGTTCTCCCTCACTTCCAAGGGGCTTCAGGTCATCCACTTCATTCATGTGTCAGGTCCCCACCGCAGGTGCACTCAGCCCTTTTGGCTCTGGGACCCTGACACAGCCACCCTGCCCTCCTTGGGCAGCTCTGGGTGGGAGCAGTGGGGTAACCCGGGTCTGGTCACACAAACTTCCCTCCACAAAGCCTCAGAGTGCGAGGCAGGCTGTGCTCAAAGCCGCCAGTTCTGGGCCCCAGCGGGCTGTCCCCTTTGGCTTCCACTGCCTGGAAGCCCCTCCATGTTCCTGCCAGATGCCTGATGGGAAACCAGCTGGCGCCCGGGGAGCGAGCAGCCCCAACCCTGGGCGGCACTGACCCTGTCTCCCCCGTCGGTGTCTCCCCATCTCTGTTCTCTCTTCCAGAGCAGAGCCTCTAGCCTCACCTCGGGTCAGGCAGAGAGATGGCTGCTGCCTGTTAGCCCCCTTCACCCCACCCTCGGACTTAAAATAAACCTGGCTTCACCTCCACCTGCTGCAGCGTGTCTCTGGGGTGGCAGGGGGCAGGGAGGGCGCAGCGTGCACCCTGGCCCCTCCTCGTCTCTCTCCGCCCTCCTTGAAGCTGTGAGTCCCAGTCAGGGGCGACCCCTTCCAGGGCCACAGGCTTCTTTGCCAGGGAGTTCGCTCTGCTTGCTCTCTCAACCTGTTTTGAAGATGGTGCACTGAGGCCCAAAGGGGGGCAGAGGCCTGGCCGAGTGCACTCGGGGGCACGCAGCTCTCCCCACTCCCCTCCCGGGGCCCTAGGGCTTGAGCTGGGGCGGCTCAGGCCCCATGTGTTCTGGGCTTGGGGAGCCTGACTGGGAGCAGAGAGGCCCAGGGAGAGGTGGTCTGGGCCCCCACATCCAGGGCTGATTCCGTCTCCCCCATGGGGAACAGCCACATGGAGAAGGGCAGGCAGTGCTGGGCTCCTAACTTCCTAAAGGCCTTCTGGCTCAGGTTCCTGCATCTTCCTCCTTAGGGTGGGGTGGGGGGACCCCCTCCTGGGGTGATGCGGTTGGCAGATGCTCCCTCTGCAAAGGCAGGACCAGCTGGTCCAAGGGAGAAAGAGGACACCAGGCCCTGGGGTCAGAGGGAGGTCTCCCGAGTCCTGAACTGCCCTTAACTGCTCCCCCAGGGCCGGGCCCAGACCCAGGGCAGGGTGGACTGGCCCGGGCTGGGTGTAGGTGGGTGCCCCAGGTCGCTGGGGTCGGGTGGGTGAGGGGCGCTCAGGCCGAGGAGGCACACCTGCTCGGCCCCCCTCCTGGGGAACAAGGGGAGACCCTTCTTTCCCCTGGGGCCTCCTTCCCCTTGGCAGAGCCTGACAGCCCGCAGTCCTTTGCTCTGGGGGCTGTGCCTCTGGCCGAGGATGCCTCCAGGAGCCGCAGTTTAGGGTCCCCACCCTCTCTGGGTAGGGCTCCTGGAGAATATAACCCCAAGTGCTTCTGTTTCAGTTAAAGCCTGGAAGCCAGAGAAACTAAATTGTCCCCCCAGTCACTGGGGTGGAGTGTCTGGTTTCTAGGGATGCCCCTGATGCGGGCCACGCACAGGGCCCTGGGCAGGGCTGCAGGGAGGGGGTGCAGGGGGTGCCGAGTGGCACTGACTGGGCCTGGGCCCGGCTCACACCACCCTGTCACCTCCCCATCTTCCCAGCCCTGTGTTCAGGCCAGGTCTTCACCAACCGGTCCGGGGTGCTCAGCAGCCCTGAATACCCGCAGCCGTACCCCAAACTCTCCAGTTGCACCTACAGCATTCTCCTGGAGGAGGGGTTCAGTGTCATCCTGGACTTCGTGGAGTCCTTCGACGTGGAGACGCACCCTGAAACCCGGTGCCCCTACGACTCCCTCAAGGTCTGGCCCCAGGGATCCTCCCCTTATGCTGGTTCTCGTGGCTCCTGCCGTGACAGGGCCCGTCCGCTTTCAGATTCAAACCGACAAAGAGGAGCACGGCCCATTTTGTGGGCAGACGTTGCCCCCCAGGATTGAAACGAAGAGCAATTCAGTGACCGTCACCTTTGTCACCGATCAGTCAGGGGACCACACAGGCTGGAAGATCCTCTACACCAGCACAGGTGAGGCTGGTGGGGCTTGCCTGCCGGGAGGAAGCTCTGTGGGAGCGGCGAGGACAGGAGAGGGCCCCCCACCACCCGGCCAGGCCCGGGAAGCAGAGGGAGCAGACCCCAGCTCTCAGCGTCCTCGGCTGTGTCCCAAAGGTGAACCGACCAGAGCCCACCAGGAGAGAGGCAGGCGCGCTTATTTCATGTAAGTTGCCCTTGGCGTGGGAGCCTTCATAAGGAAAGGAGCCCCCTGGCCCTCGGTGGGTGAGGGCGGGCGCCCTGCACGAGGGGCAGGGTAAGGAGTGCGAGGCGAGCGCTTGTTCAGCTTCCTCTGGGCTCCCTTTGCCGCTGAAGGTGAGGCTGCTCTTCCCACCTGGCAGCAGAGGGCACCTGGCAGTGGAGGGCACCTCGCCCCTGTCGGTCTTTTGAGCTGCTTTAGCAGAGACAGGCCATGAGGGAGGTCAGAGCGACCTTCCTGCTTCTGCTGGTTTTCTTCTCAAACTCCTTCAGATTAAAACATGCCAAGGCGCCGTATTTCGGGGTAGTGTGTCCTCAGCTCCATCAGAAGACGGACCAGGCTTGAGTGGGGGTGGTCCACAACTGTGGTCCCCTCAGGGGAGAGGCCATCCCTCCTTCCCTCTCCCCCTTTTCCACCCACCCCTCTCTCCAACCATCCCTCCTTCCACCTGTAGGGGAAGAAAAAATTATTTTCTCTCTATCCTTCTAAGTCCCTGGCTGGGAACAAAGCGTAAATTAATGAGCGAAAAGCGAACAAGTTCATTAACATGTGTAGCTCATGTGCACCCAGGGGAAAGTGAGTCAGTCTCAGAGAGGGCTTAGAATTCAGGCTTAAACACCATTTTTAGCTAAAGACAAACCAGAGACTGGTGGAGGGGAGGCCAGTTACGGGATGACGACCAGGGGGAGTATGGAAGCAAGAGTACATTTTGTCATTGGGGTTTAAGACCCCTGCCTTCTCCACTGAGGAGTTTCTAGCGATATAGTCATCCTCCTCAAGACACTCCTACAAATGGAGATTTCCTTTGTAAATATAAATTTCCCTTAGAAAAGGGTAACGTCAACTCTGTTTTCTGAGCTTCTCCTGTGTCTGCTGTTTTTCAAAATTATCAGCTCAAAATTATCCTTATGCCAAAAGGCATAATTTGGAGTGCCAAGTCCGGCCACTCTTTGCGTCCATCCATCCGTCCATCCTCTCCATCCCTCTCTTTGTGCATCCTGCTCAGCTTCCCTCCCTCCCTGCTTCCTTCTCCACCCATCCACCCGCCCACCCATCCTACGGAAGGACACAGGCCCTGTGTGGGGAATACGGAAGGCAGGAGCCACAGTCCCCCGCCCCAGGTCTGTCCCCAGTCCAGTCGGTCACAGCAGCATGACCACGGCCCCCTGACAAGCGCGGCCAAGCGAGGCCAGAGCAGGGGCTTGGCCCAGGAAGTGGCTGGGTGTGAGAGAAAGTATCCCAGGACAGGAAATTCCTGAGATTGGATTTGAAGGATAAGTAGGTGATGGAGGAAGATGGAAGGATGTTCCAAGTGGAAGGGAAGGGTTTGTGCAAAAACTCCCTGAGGCTCCACTGTTCTGGGTATGCAGCTGTAGAGGAAGAATTGGGAAAGGCAGAGGTGGGGCGCTCCCGATCACAGAGGGTTTGGACAATGGCTACAGTTCTGGGAGCCTGCAGCTGGGCCGACACACTGTCTCCCCAAAGGGCCCCTGCTGGCCCTGGCCCCACTGTCTGGGGCCTGAAGCCCTTTCACATCCTCCTCCTCTTGACAGACCCTCAGTCGTGCCTACACCTCTATCGACACCACTCCTTAGATATAAGTTCAAGTCCCCCCACCTCCCAGGGCACTGACCTCTAGACATGTCTGTCCTTGTCACCACTCTCAGCTGATGGGTCTTTTGAGATGTCATTGAAAGAACAGAGTAACTGAGCTGGAGAGGCAGGAAATAGAAACAGCTCCAAAGCAAAAAGCCAAGGCTCCAAGCTGTGGCTCAGGGTGCAGGCTATGGTGTCAGACCTGTCCCTGGAAACTGGGTTCCCAAGGGGAGACTTCGGGGCCTGCACAGGACTGAGAGCTACCCATGGACACACATCAGATGCCGGAGGGAGAAGAGGACTCAGCAAATGACTGGTATACAGAGGAGTGACTGGGGGATGGGCTTAAGCCTTGGGTGACACTAGGACCGGGTTTGGGGGCCAAAGTTTGGGGGTTTGGGGGAAGATGGTCTCCCAGGAGCACACTCCACAGTGCTCAGGAGGGCAGCGCCAGGCTTCCTGAGCGCCCCCTGGCTCTGGGCTGCAGGTCTCCCCGGGCCTCTGTGGCCAGCCCAGGCTGCTGTGAGGGCTGCCTGCAGCCCCCTCTTAGCGAGCCCTTAACAAAGCCCTGCCGTAGGCGCTTCCCGACAGCCCCATTCTCATCAGGCATCTTGATGCCGGGGTTCTTGCTCAGGGAGTCAAAGAATGAACTTTGCAAACACTCAAGGTAGGAGAGCCACGGAGAGGCTTTTATTTAGAGATAAAAGTGAGAGGACAGAGCTCCTGGCTCTTGCAAGGAGGGGACAAGAGAGCCCGTGATTGTGCCGTTGTCTAGGGGATTTATAGGTGGTTGAGGATTTTTAGGAATGGGGGTAAAGGGCTAGGGGTGCAGAGTGGTCCCAGAGTGCTCATTTTTGATGAGTAACAGAAGAAATTTGCTGCTCTGATTCCTTCTCAGGGTAGCAGCTTCCCTCTGGTAGCATGTAGACTGCCTGCCCTGCCCCCAAGGTGGGCTGGGTTGTTGCCTGCTTGCTAAAGAGTGTGTTATGAATCTTATTTCTTAACTTCTTGGGCTGTTTATAACTGGACTTGCTTACCAAATCAATCTCTTGCCCAAGTTGCAGATTACTTGATTAGGGTTAGAGAAGGAAAAACGGTGTATAGGTACAGTTAAAAATAAGCTGGGCCTTTTAGCACGCTGAGGTAAATGTGTCATGATCTACTTGACACAGTGAAGCCATGGACTATGCTGATATCTGTCTGGGGCACGTTCAAACATTCCAGGCCAAGTTGCTCCTGGCCTTTTGAGCTTTAACTGAAGAGTGCCTATATTCTTAGGTTGATATCTTTACCCTAGAGAATTATTGTGACTCTGACTTTGCGGAATGCTTAACACAGAGTTTTGATAGGGGCTTCTTTGCAAATTGTTACATTGTTCCGACTGTAATATCCTGCTTTGCTTTTTTTTTTCTGGAGGCCCTCACCCTACTCTGCCTAAACCCACAGCTTGTCTCAGTCTTTCAGATGAGGAAACTGAAGCTCAGAGAGGTTATAAGTAACCACTGGGACTGGCGAGCTGGGATTTCCACCCATGCAGTCTAGCTCTTTCCCTCCAAATCACATCATCTCTCGGTTTTCAGCTGTGTGTCGGGACCCTGGCATGGAGCGGTCACCCCATTTGTGGTGACTGCACACCTTCCTACCTGCCTGGCTTTCTCTTACATAGCCTTGGCAGAAGCCCATGCAAGACAACACATTCTAAATTGCATAAAAGCAACAGAGAGTTTAATCTTGCCTTTGGCTTTGAATCTTAAGAACTCTACCCTACTGTGGCAAGCTCTCTTTCCACGTTAAGTGTCTCATCTCTAAATCAAGAACTTCAAATTGCTAAATTCAAACTTGCCTGCTAGAAGCCCACATCAAAACCCCTGAGCCTGGTTTCCTCGCTGCAGCTCGGCCTTGCCCTGATCCGACGGCACCACCTAATGGCCATGTCTCACCGGTGCAAGCCACCTACGTCCTGAAAGACAGCTTCTCCATCTTCTGCGAGACTGGCTACGAGCTTCTGCAAGTAAGTTAATACAGCATGTGTACTGCACAATGGTCATGATAGAGTTTAAACGTACACAGATTTATATCAGCAAATATGGGAAAAGAGCTGTTGTCAGAGCAGTGGTTTCTTTTGCCAATGACTGAACAATAAAAATCAAAGGAATGTTTGCTGGGAAGGATAGCTATGAAGTTCTGCCTTTTATTAGCTGTAGAAAAGTTTCTGGAAAGCTGGTGGTTAAAATGGACCACTTTTCTTTCTTTCATTTTTTGATTAGGGAGAAAGCTTTACTTTTTTTTGGATTTTATTTTTTTATTATTTTTATTTTTTGGTATCATTAATATACACTTACATGAACAACACTGTGGTTACTAGATTCCCCCCATTATCAAGTTCCCACCACAAACCGCATTACAGTCACTGTCCACCAGCATAGTAAGATGCTGTAGAATCACTACGTGTCTTCTCTGTGCTATTCTGCCTTCCCTGTGCCCCCCACCCCTACATTAT